TATATGAAAATGAAGATGATATATGAGATGAAGAAAATAAGATGACGTATGAGATGATATACTAGTATGAGAAGTAAAAAGGAAGAATAAATACTGCAATAGGACATGAAAATATATAGATATGAATATACTGTTAACAATTATGCAATGGAATGAATTACTATGAATTGAGAATGCCTAAATGCATTAAGATCATAGATTGCATAACAGTATTCGCGGTGCGATAATTGAAATAAAGAATGCCTGAATGCATTAATATTATCGCAGGTGAAAAGGAGGAATAAGTAAAATATAAATATGATAATGATAAAGAATGTACAGTATAATGATTGATACATGCGGGGAACTACATGTTTGCCCGGTTGTTAATTTGAGCTCTGATCTAATGACCATGAAGTGTGATTAATGAATTTTAGGGATAACATTATAAGGTTATTCATAAATGGATGTTTATTGTTTAAAGGAGATGTGCGGTCCATTGCTTTAAGATATATATAACAACTAATGCTTTTAATATTTGGGTCAGCAGCGTTAGTGGACTTGAAAGTTAATATCCTTTCGGGGAGATACAGTCCGGTGCACAGAAGAGACCCACTCAAATGGCTAACATTTTAATGCACATCTCCCGGTAATTTAAGATAAGAAAACAGGTGTAAATAATTAATTGATCGATATGATAAGATGTAAATAATAATCTAATATGATATTATATAATCTATATAATCAATTAATATTATGTGTGTATACAATAATATACTAAAATGAAAATATATCGCATGAAATACACAACTACCTCAAGCACCATAACTGAGATGCTTTGTAAAGGGCATATATTGAAAGTTAAAGACCATCATTTATAGATGGCGTAATAAATTTTAAGATGATAAGTGATAAGTTGAGAAGTTAAGGTTGCAAGATGAGGATGTACATATGATAATGCATCATGTCATATAGTAGTTGCATGATATCATTAATAATATTATTATATTATAATCTAATAAAATACTAATACTATCAAAAATGAAATAAAAATACTAATATGTGTGAAACATACAATAATTATATTAATCTTTGGATGATCTGATCTGATCTGATGCCGATGATCCATTGATGCCTAGGAGAAGATGGCGACGATGACGATAGATGTCACTGCAATATTCAACTAGCAGCTGATGTATGGAAATTCGCGTTAAACTGGATTTCCGTTTGGGTTATATAATATATATGGACGCTCTCCAGTGCAGTATATACCCAACGACATCTATACAATGGGGATAATACATGTGAATATAGAGACACCAGTTATTTGTGCCTATTTCACGAATGCTTAGGAGAGAGAGAATTTATTAAACTTGTGAATATAGAGACACCAGTTATTTGTGCCTATTTCACGAACGCTAAAGAGAGAATTTATGAAACTTGTGAATATAGAGACACCAGCTACTATAGTGCCTATTTCACGAACGCTAAGGAGAATACAGAGGTGAATCTAGAGACGTTAATAAATGCCTAGATTTGCGGACGATGCAGAATATTAACAGCCAAGCAAGACTATATTATAATGACGCGGAATGATATTTATATAAACGCTGAAGCAGTGATATATAATTACCGTCAACAACAAGTGATATATGAACGCTGAAAGCAGAGTTGATAGCACATATATCAAGAGACGCTCTATAGCGCAGCCAAGAGAGATGCTCTACAATACAGCCTAAATGAAGAGGATATTAGACATTTTATATGCCATATCAGACAATTGATTTATATGATAATGACATATTTTAGTGGGGCACTAAAATTTAAGGAGGGGTGGTTGTTACCACTCACTTTTTGACATTAATTAGTCAATTAATTAATTTATAATATCATTTAATATCATTGATATTCATTTTGATATCATTGATATTTATACCAATATTGTAAAGAATCTAATAGTAATTGTTACTATTTTGTATTATGTTGGTTCAACCAGGTAGCAGTCGATGGAGTTAATATTTGATTGACACCTGAGATTGTACTTGATAACTTGATACTAGTTTAAACCGGTTGAGCTAATTATAGTACAAGATTCTATTTTTAAGCTTATTCTGTCAGGTGGAACTAATATATCAGTAACCGCTTTTAGCAGGTTTTGAACAGGTTTCTGATGCAATATGTGTGGGCGATTGTGCAATTATTGCACAACTTTTGCCTGTTATTGCGCAATCCTGACAGAATGATTTATGTTATTTTACTTGTATATAAGCAACCACGGATTCACAATCAAACATTCTGAATTCTGGATTGGGATCACCTTCTGAAACATTCAACATTTGGATCACAACTACTATATTCTAGATTCATATTTTGGATCGCACAATCTGATGTTCTAATACGGGATCACCTTCACGGATACTCTTGAGTTGGGAACACAACAACACTTAGAGGCGAGAATTATCTCAAAGACGTCCAAGATTGTGAATCCAGGTTGCAGATGAAAGCATAAATAAAGAATAAATAAGTTACAACAGCATTTGTTAATCGTTATCGAGATGAGATACCTGTGAGTACCGGAAACCTACAAGATCCCGGAATAATCGAACATCGATCACGTAACCGTCACGGGTGATTGGGTTCATAATGATATACAGGCTTAAGTCAGTGGGTCAGACTATTAACCAATGAGGGTAGCTTAAGTTTTTTTAATATGCAAATCGTTTAGAAGCTTTAGATGGGGTTTTATTCTTCATGATGCTATTTGTAGCAGAAGATCTACTTCAATTTAATAATTAATGTGACAATCTATAATCAGTATATCGCAAAGATTAACTGCTCATTGAAAAGCGCGTGTTATCTTATAAAAATAGTGACATTAAAGTCTAAAAAGACAACCCATCGGGGGAGTACAGATATTGGATGTAAAATCTTAAAATTAAAGATAAACAATGGGGGGAGTGCAGACATTGGAAGAAAAAGCCAGAAGATACAGTACACAAATTTCCAAACTTCACACCATGACTTGCCGTCAGGCCGGGACGTCAGGATCGCTTGTTTATGGTGTTTATAGATAGAATTCACTTTGTCTGAACGTTTAGTTCATTTCTAGTTACTTTATCAGTAAATAATTGCCCCGATGAGCCCGAAGTGCACACGCAAACATGCTGTTCGGACCAGCTGGCATGATCTAAGCTTTGAAAGTATGCATACTGTACTTCTCTTGGTCTACATTTAATAAATATTGCACGGCCTAGTGCTATACCTATTTATTTTTTCATTTCTCGTTTCCTCTGCAATCGTTGATAACAAACAGAAAATGGAAATATTTTTAAGTTGAACCTCCGGATAAATCTGCATCCAACAATTTATTGTTACTTTAATTTAACAATGTGCTGAATAATTTGTTTAATTTGGGAAGAGGTCCGGGACTTCTAGACGTAAAGTCTGCCAGTTATGAATCGAAATTAAATCGTAAATAAATAAAAATACAATTGAACAAAAGACTAATAAATGCTTTTCATTGATTCTCACACTTTGAAACATTGACAATTTTATCAAAAAGTACTTAGGATGGAGGTATATTTGAATTTGCGGCCAGGCATCTTTGTAATGGGCGATAATAAAAAATAACCTAGCGACAATTAACGTTCCCGCACGTTGATTAAAATGTTACACGTCAACTGACGCGATTGGTTACACATGCGCAATTGAAAAAGATAGAACGTCAATTAACGTAGTATCCGTCAATCAACTACAACGACGTTAATTGACGAGATAAACGTTAAATGACCTAATCGTCTCCACTGAGAAACCATGACATCAATAATATAATTTTAATCCAATGTGGATGTACACCATTGATTTTAATATGTAAGGGATTTAATATTGCATGCTTCTTTAAAGTCATAACTGTGGTTTGATATAACAGATACACTGTACAATTTCTCTGAAAAAATAATGTTCATACATTAGAATAATGTACTTGTGGTAAGATTTTTTAATTTTTAAAATTATTTTTCCTGCCCCTGGCAGGCCCCCGACAGCCTCCCGGCACAATTTCCACCACAAACTGCCCCCAAAATCTCCCCTTGTCACAACCCCGGCACTTTAATAATGCCGACCCCGTCAACCCTGCCGACCCCAAAATGTTAAATTCCCATTGAGAATTTTTTTGCCCTTAGCAAATTGACAACCCCTGGTCGCCGGCAAACCCCGGAGCTTTTCGCAAGGTCTATAACATGAGCATTGAAATAATTTCACAAGCTTGGGTGTAATACAGTTCCTTGTGTGGGAATCAATATACTTGCATTTGATAAAAATGACCATTTTTCTATTTGTTATGGAAATTCATACTCATTACATCTTTAACTGACTTATTCTTTCTCATTTATTGTCAAAGTTCTTATAAATCATTGGTGATTTATGCATAAATCATAAAATTATGGGAATGTTCTTACCTCACATGTGTGTTAGAAGCCCTCCATTTTGTTTCTTAATTCAATTGACCAATGAAAACAAAGATTACAAATATGCAAATTTGATAAAGATATGAGGTCTCTGATTGGTTTTCAGTGAATGCTCCTTCTCCAATCATAATCTAGTACAGAGATGTAATAGAGGAGGGCAATTTGAAAATTTTGTGGAGTCATGGACAAATAATGGACATAGTCCATTTATGGACACTTAGACACTTCTTGTGTGGCATTCCCTGAAAATCCAAAATACCACAGTAGATGGGTTTTTACACCCATTGAGAGCTTTTGTAATGTGGATAACCACACAAAAAAATTAACCACAGAAGCTATTTATTTTACTACCCGAACAACCACAAATACCCCCATTCAAGAACACAGACGAACGGACGGACGGATGGACGGAGGGCTTCACTATATCCCTACAGAACTTCGTTCGTTGGGATAAAAATTGTTGTAGAAGGGATGCTAGTATTACGTTTTTAACACCCTGTAGAGAGGATCGAACCCAAGTAAAATGATGAGGATTTTGAATTGAGTTTCATGTACCTGCATAGTAAGTGAGAAAGACTTTGCCACATGGTTCCATATTTTGTCAGACATCCACAATGTGTGCTTCAATAGATACAAGGTGTCACATAGAACCTGGCATACCATCAAACCTTCTAGACAATCTGAAATATACAGGGTGTTAATAAAATATCTGACACATCATCAAACTGTGTAAACAATCTGAAATATACAGGGTGTTAAAAGAACATCTGAAACATCATCAATTCTTGAAGACAATCTGAAATATACAGGGTGTCACCCAGAATTCACCAATAAACAATATGAAGTGGATATTTCTGAAAAATTGAGCATTGAGTGAATTATCTTTATCTTTAGATAGTTCATCATTTGAAAAGATATCAAACATCATTTAGATGTTATATTTCGATGGCAAAGGACACATTGTTTCAAAACTTGCTTGATGTTGATTGCAATTATCCATGAAACTTGAGAAGTGTATGTACAAGTAAGCACTCTATCTGTATGTACAATACATGTACATACCTTTTAATATCTTCAAATATAAATACCTTCATGTAGTACATCAAGGGGTAGGTTGTTGGTGTACAATGTTCTGTACTTGAAACTGGAAGGACATCTTTTAATGATTTGCTGTACTATACGCATCATCCTTTGTAATTCTGACTGAATGCATTGTGGAAGTAGCTGAATAAAACATTCAATAACATTGGCTATATGTATTTGTGAACACAGTATATTCAAATACCTTTTTTATCTGAACACCTATCAAATGTGAACATTTTTTGGATAAGATCTCTTAGATCTATGATTCATATAAATTGAATTTTTCAGGTGCTTTATCAAATACTTTTCAGAAAACATAAAACGAACTACTGAAGCCTCAGTCACATTTGCCCAATGGCAGCCATAGCTCCACAAAATCGATATACAAAATCTACATCATACTGGTTATCCCTATATTTTATGCTGCATATTTCTCTCGATTTTGGAGAGCCAGGGCCACCATACTGTTGCAGTAGATCAAATGTGACTGAGACATTACTCAATTTTAAATTGTTAAAATGACATTTCATCAATGGATACAAACCTGAGCAAGGGCAAGAACCAAATTTCCATAGAGTTGACCATCTTTTTCAAGTATTTCCCCTTCCATGAGATCATCGAGTACAGTGTTCATCATAACATCATTGTTGCTACCCACCTGCAGCATCACTAGCAAACCATCTGTTTTATCTGCAGAACATATTTTTGTATTATACAATGGGGTAATCAGGCAATAGTATGACCTATTATTTTAAATCAAAACAAAGAAGAACATTAGCGATATGTTCATGCTATTAAAACATAACGTTGTTGTGAAGCATTTCAAAAATCAAAAAGACAGTAGAAAATTTGCAAAGTCAAGTGGTGTGCAGAAGAGGTAATTAAAGTCAACTTCGAATTATGCTGCTTCAGGAACATTCACTCTTTTTCAAAATGAAAGAGAAAGTTTTTAAATTAGCAGTGTGTAGCTAGGAAAGTGGGGCAATTTGTAAAACTCTGACAGCTCCAATCTTTGAATAGACTAATTCCAACATGAACTTGCATATGTGAACACCTCTGTAATGTGAACACCTCTGTATTCTGGATACCTCTGTAATCTGAACACCTCTGGAATCTGAACACCTCTGGAATCTGAACACCTCTGGAATCTGAACACCTCTGGAATCTGAACACCTATCAATATGAAAATTCTTTCAGTCCCAATGATCCGATCTCCCATTGACTCCCTGGTTAAAGAAATGTTGAATTGTGAACACTTGAAATTCCAAACACATTTGGTTGGTCCAAAATGTGTTTGGATGCGACAGGTTTTAGTGTACATTGATGTCAGAATTGATGATATTTGATAATATGGTTACCATGTGTATCCAGTGCCCATCTAGAGTCATCTGTTGTACATGTACAATAATCAGCCAAGTTCCCTGGGACAGTCTGCAATAAGTACAACAGTCATGTGCCAATATACAACTTTATAGAAAAGGCATGAAGGATACTTCCTCAATGGTAATTTGTACCTTTGTCCTCACAAGATTCAACAGAATATTGGTATCTCCATTATGTATTTAAGGATTTAAGCCCTGAACTCTGTGCTTTATTTGTAAAATATATCACATGTGAATTGTTCCTTCCTAAAATCATGTCTTTATTACTTTACTTACCATTGTATGTGGTGATGTGCTGAACAGTTTGTGGAGATGAAGTCTTGTGCTCCAGTCAAAGTCCCTAATACAGTTGTACAGCCACATCAAGGACTTTTCTGAAATAGCAGAGGATTTCATTTTTACGGGGCTACACTGACTGAACTACATTTAATCCATATAAGGTATATGAAAAAACACTGTTTTCCAAAAATATATAAAAGTATATATGTGACAGTTAAAAGTTTACCTGATGTTTCAGAAGGGTGCAGTTCAACAATTTGACAAATCCTTTCAATAATCTCAATTGTGAGTGTTTTCACGATGACCCTTGACCCCAAGTCTTCTGTATTGTCTGCATCACTATCCTCAGAGGGTTCAAACCACAAAAACCTACAGCCATCTAGCAGTCCACAAAGGGTTTGTAGCAATGGAATAAGATCAATGGTAAATATCCAATGTGTTTTCCGTGCTACGCTGGGATCATTTCCAGTGTGAACATCGACTGGGGTGAGATCTGACTCACAATTGGTCTCTATGGCAACCAGTAGCATCTTCAAGGCTAACTCTAGATAAGAATTCTTCAACGTATTGCCATCATTAACAGTTCCCCATGACAAATGCTCAACAATGCATAATTTGATAAATTCACTGGGATTCAACAAAGACATTGTGGCGCTATCATACATAAAGTTTTCCAGTAATCCTCTTATCAGGTCAAGCAAATTTTGCACCTCTGTACAGGAGAATTTTTTCTTCTTGGAGATGACATCATGCAGGATTCTACCAATGCGTGGCTTGTTCTTCTTTAACGTGATACATATGTTTGGTAGCATACGAAATACCTGTAAGAGTATAGAGTAAAGGGATTCAGACTGGAGTATTTCAATAGAATTCCTAAATGTTGCATATATGACATGTCAGGCATGATGATCTGGTTAGAGTGGCAAAAATCAGTTTGGACAAAAATAAAAATTGGATAACTCTGGCAGTGTACAGACAAGCCAAGTGGTTCAGCAAGATATTTACTCTCAAAGCATCAGGATTTGGAAGTGATGGATTGAAAACACATTGCAGTGTGTGTGATATGACATACCTCAACTATAATCCCATTCTGTCCACTGTTTGTGATGCTCTCACTCAATGCCATGTTAACAACATCTGCTGGGCATTGTAAAGCCAATGGAGAAAGCCCCCTCACACTCTAAAATACAAAATATATATTGTTTCATTTGGAGCAAGGATCTGCGTTACAAAATCAAGCTGCTAAAGTGTAAGTGATTTCAAATGAAAATAAGGAATGTAATAACTCTTATTTTTTTCCTGAATGTTGTATCTAAATGAGTAAGTAACTAATGGGATGCAATTAATTTGCAATTAAGAGCCATAACCTTTTTATTTTTATTTTTAGTTGTCTCAGCATCATAGAACAGGTGCCTGATTTTAAAGTATTCACAATAATGCTTAAGTTTTCAAAATTATGGTTGTTTTTGTTCATGGGTTTTATATTATCCATACTGTACTGTACATACTTCTTCTATTTCCTCAGCATTATTCACCAGCTGATTTAGCACCTGGATAACTTGCTGTTGGAAGGGTTCATCCATACATTTGGCCAACAGTGTAGTGTATTTCTCAGGCAGGTTTCCATGGAGATGGTTCTGTGTTGTCAGTGGAAGTTCTCTCAATACAACCAAACACACCTAGAGTGAAACAGGCAATGTGTATAGATTTTATGAATGGATGGTTGGATATTTGGGCCACTGTTTCCTCATGCAGATTTCATTATCTTCTTTAAATGGTTGAAAATAGTTAGATAAATGCAACAAAATAGGAAATGGTCTGTAATGGTCACAAGCCAATTATAGAATAAAAAATGAATGTAAACACAGTTTTCTATCATTCGTAATGGTGTATATTACAATGGTCAGATCAAAAGTTTTGATGCAAAGTTGAATTTCTATAAGGGCTGACCAGAAATTAGCATAGTTATTAGTTAGCCCTTGTCATGAGTTCAGTGACATAAATAAGTAAATATAAATTTAAATGATTTTGAGATCCTGACACAGCAACAATCCATAAAAATAAGTTTTACACTTTGACAAAATGGATATCCGAGCGAAGTACATTCTGTAAAATTGTTTGAAATTATTTTAGCAAATGTCAGTGCTCTAACCTCCTTTAGCAAAGCTGCTGTGTCGTCTTTTGCAGTCTCCATGAGCACATCTAATAGTGCATAGAACCTGTCCTCACTAGCTAACAGGCATATATTCTCCAAGAGACACTTCACATACCTGAAACAAGGCATTAACATAACAAAATGTCGACCTGCAAATGGTTACAAAAGTGTAACAATTGTTACATACATGTATGTAGTCCCTGACTGCCAACAACAACAAAAATATGTTCAACGAGCAGATATTTGCAGAAATGTACTGGAACCCATAACATGTGAGGATATGTTCACAGTAAAAACTTGAAGTTAGTATATACAGTACTTGTTTATATTGGAAGTTGTACCAACCACAATCCACAAAAAAGTTGGGAGACCATAACAATGCCATCACTGCTGGTAGTGACATAAAAATATAATAGAAGCGCAGCATGAACTAAAAAGAGAAATACAGTCACATATAGATGGCAGCAACTCGACAGGAAATATTTCGCAAGTGGAACAATTTTAAAGGACTCATGCCAATGAACCTCAGTAAGTGGAACACCACAGTAGACCAATTGCAAACATACCATAATGAGGCACAATCCATTGATTTCATGTTAATGCATTTCTGTAAGTGAACCACCAAACACTATTTGTGGTCTGAAGGGCATTCCACATACACAGGTTTTACTGTATAGAATCATAATATTTGTTTACCTTTCATCCTCAACAATGTGCCCTCTTTGTCTTAATAGCCAGTCCAGGTAGTCTGAAATGAGAACTCAGAGTAATCAACATATCAGTATAAGTGATCATAATGACTGGTCATAGGAATGCCAACATAAGCACCTAGAATGGATTCCCATAAAATAAAAATATGTTGAATATTGTTTTTTAAGGCAACACTGAACATACATTGTCATAGTCTGTTCAATTCTAGTAAAATAATCTCAGATCAAATCCTGGTATTTTTATATATGCTACAGCTGTTGTCTTACGTGTACTTTATTTCAAGATACAGAGATAACTTTTAAACCAGCGGTTTCTCCACATCTAGCCCTTCCTCTGACTGAAAACATAACATATAGACCATCTTATGACTACAGGATGGATTTAATAAATAAAACCCGCTAAACAAGTCAGTCAAGAAACACCTACCTTGATGGTGTTCAGACTTCTCAGCAAGTTCACGAATTGCAATCTCTAAGCTATACACTCTTTTCCTCTGCTCTATTTCTATTTCCCTTTGAAGATCAAGCAATTCCTTCAACTGCAGACCGTCAAGAAATGCTAAAACTTGTTCCTGTTCAAGATTCACTGAATCATAAGCCCCTGATGTATCATTTTGTGATGGTAAAAATTTATTGTTCTCTCGCAGTGTTGCCTCACACAAATATAGCTTGTAGGTGAAGCCACAAAGATCTCTTGCTGTTTCATTGAGATTTCCCGCTCCATTTGCTTCATGCTTGGTCATTAGGCAACTTTGGAAATTTGTGAATATTTTGAAGAACCGCTTTATTGATTTTGTCCAATCATCGTGGCTTATATATGACGCAAGTATAGATAAGATGCTATTTTGAAAATGTTGATTATTCTTACACTGTCTCGGGTTGAATTGTCTTCTATGACATGTTGAATCGTCTGAACTAAAATTCAGTATATGTTCGTCAATAGAAAATTTTTCTAAATAGACACCACTAGTTAACTGCATCATACTTCCAAATATGGATTTTTTCTGGGAATCACTTGTGAAGTGTAGCATATTTCTTCTTAAAATATCACAGAACAGTTCCTGAATTTCTTCATGATAATCAGCTTGAAACTCATCCTGATCTTCACTTCTGTTAGGATTGTTCAGCTCAGTAGTGTCATTACAGAGGATAGCACTGGGACAGTCAGTCAGGAATTCACAAAAGTCAGCGAAGAGTTGTAAATCCTTGGGGTTTGTTTGTTGGTTAATGTGTTGGAGAATACACAGAGCCAACCATTGGATGTGGACAGGATCTACCATAGCAACAGCCTACAACAAACAAATATATGTTGAATGCAATCCTTGAGAATATATCCCAACCTTTGTGCAATTAAAATTCTTCTGTGATATTAGAGAGATTCAATTACTAAGTAACTTATGGAGACCCTTTAATAGATGGCAGGATTAAAAGTGTTCTGATGATATAGAGCAAATATATTAAACATTGTTGAGCTAAACCTTAAACTTAATTATTTGAAGCTTGACTCTACATTTACAGTTCACATTGCTAAACGAACAACTACAAGAGCAAAGAAATAGCTAGGATTCAAAAAAAGACGAGGCAAATATACATCGATGAGGTTAAGTCTAAACGGAAGAGGATATCATGCTTCTATGACATAAGCTGAAGAAGATATCATACTTCTATGACAATTGTAACAGTTTTTGTTGAAAATAGAGCTGATCAAAATTATGTAAAATATTGCCTGATGTGTCCACTGTCCTTACCTTCCACAGTTCAGGTGTAAAGCTGAGCTGTTCAATAATGTTGAAATAAAGATGACAACTGAATGATGGTAGAGCTGATGCAATCCTGTCATAGCTAGTCTCCTCCTCTGCTAGTACAGGGGTTGTACAGCTACAGTTACATCTATGACACTGTAGTAGACCATGCAGCAGTAGTGAAGTCACCTGAAGAACACACATGTGCTACGTACTTGGAGGCTGTAGATATATTGGTATACAATCATTACAGACATACCAGGGGTGCAGTCAGGAACTAGATTTCACTTAGGTGAGGCAAACTTCAATAGGTGAGGCTAATTTAATAGGTGAGGCTAAGTTTAATTGTAGGGAATATATAATACTATTACAACTGGACTTCATTTGAAATGTTTTCATGAAAGAAACATAAATAAATAACATTTTGGTGTGGACCTACCAGTGCTTGATTTAAAACATTTCCATCTGACAAAGGCTGTGAAATGGGTTTAATGTGTGCCATTTCAAATAACACTTTAGCTCTGGATACCCTTGCAAAGCAATGATTTTACATGATTATATGATTTGCTAGCAGAATGACTAAATAAGGCATTAAAATAACATTCTGCTGTACATGTTCTGTATCATTTTATAAACAAGGGGAATAGCCTCCCATCATACCATGATGGTATGTTCATTGTGTGTGAACGTGGTAAATATAAGCTCAACTATGAACTATGGGTAATCTCTTCGTTTATACATATACCTTCTGTTTCCATTCTGCAATGTGATTATTGTCAGGAATCTTATTGAGCCCTCCAAGTATTTCATCAATTGCACAACTGAGGATTTCAACTGCTTCACTACATTCATCTTTTCTCAGGACTTTCAACTCATCTGCTCCATGCTGAAAAGCAAAAGTTTAGAATTTGGTTGGTACGAAGTAAATGTATGCAGAAGAGGAATATCTAAATTGATAGTAGTAATAATATGATATAATGATAATGATTACAACACCTCCCAGCAGATTTGAAGTTCAGAACGAGGCTGATAAAGTGATAATACAACGAACGAAAACATATTTATTTTCATTACCAGTCCAAGCACTAATTGCAACCCCCATTTTGAGCCAAACGCCCAGGGATTTCATTCATAGTGCTGAGAAGGAGACTCAGAGGAAAGAACTATGCGCTCTGTCAAAAGAGGTGAAGTGCAAGCTTGTTTTAATTTTTTACATGTAGATGGGGATGCCCCTGAAATTGCATTTGCTAAATATAAAGATGGGGTGTGTTTCAGAATGATGGAATAAACATTTACCTTGTATTCAAGTAATGAAAATGCCCCAAGCAACACGGCAACCTCCTCTACATAGTCCATGCTTGTTTGTCTGCCTAATTATTTCCATTAGCACAGTCCTGAAGAAACAAGGTTTACCATTCAACTAATGCATTAAATCTTTTGTTATGCCTTGGTCACATTTGCTCCGATTTTCACTACGGCGCCCGGCCGATTGATTATTTTGTTCATAAATGTATTCAATTTTGAACAAAATACTCAATCGGCCGATGAATCGCAGCAAATGTGACTAAGGCATTAGTCTTTTCTAAGTTGTACACAAAATAAATATTACACAGAATTACACTATGGTCCCTTGAGTGCTCATTTTAGCAAAAGACAATCCTAAATACATGTAACCCTGGATATATGTATTATTGTTTGATTCTTTAGTTCAACAGATATATTTTATATTTCAGTCCATATTTTAGATATTCAAATCTCATTTGTGCTTTCTATTGTAAACAAGGACACAAAAGTGTATAACATGTCCCCACCAATGGGTGATCCTATATAGATTTTTCATCCTGAATGCCCAACACTAATCAGTTGACAAGACAAGACTTTAGAACAAAAAATCCAAAATCCAAAATGACCACATTAACAATATCCAGAATGCCCAAAAGCTTATCAGTTTGTACAAGGGCTTTCAATTGTCATATTTGTTGTTCCCTCTTCAAAAGAGGAGGCGAAAGATTTTCCTTATAAGGTCAAAATGATGCAGTTCACGGAGAGGAACAAATTCATACTTCCTTGTTTTCCCCCTTGGTTTAACATGGGGATTTTCATAACTATACTACACAATCAATATATTCGTTCATATTCCCATACAGGAGTACAGAAAAAATTATCAGAAACGATTGATCTCCTATTAATCTTAATATAACAGATATTTTTTCATTGTTTTGATTCATAGCGTGGTGAAAACAATGATTGAAAAGTGAGAAAATATTCCGGAAGAAAAGGTCACGTGATCAGCTGACCAGTCGCCATATTGGAAAAAAATAATTTCATTCGACTTTCAACACTTTCATTCCAATCTTACCGCACTACAAACTGCAACATCGATGCAACAACAGAATAAATGTACTCATCTTCAAATTGCATAATAGAGTTACAAAGTTAGAGTTCGAAAATCCACAAACTGAGCAGTTGACCAAAGAAGACGCGTCGCTATTATCTAGGTCAATCTGTCCAGTGTCCGAAAGCAAATTTATATTCTCGTTTCTGAATTTCATTGTTCATTGTACAATCTTTTCTTGATTATACTCAGTATACTGACCATTAAAGCAATGACAAAGAACAATTATACTTCTGATGGTACCATTGTTTTATTTAGCGTGTGGGTGTAAAAACAATATGCATAATTACAGTTTGGAACAAAAATAATGACACATGGATTTGCTGAAGTGAGGATTTCCCATGTTAAAAATAAGAGAATTTTCAAGAGATCATACATCAATGGATGACAGTATACAAAATGTAAAATATACAAAACTTAAGGGATGTGTATCTAGACAATATTTGAGACTATAGGGCTTTCAAAACACCAAGGTTTGGATATGGTGATAGAAAATCTACCTGTCATTTATTTTGTTCCAAACTGTAGTTTGATTTAGAACTTTCTGGTCATGCAAAACGAAAAGTATCGTTGGAAAATATTGACCAATCAAATTTTGTCCTTTATTGAGGGCTTTTTAAGTACATATTTTCGTACCTTCCTGATTAAAGAGCGAACCACGAAAGGCTTATTAGAAGGGTATGCAACTCTGTGTAATAACATGAGACCTTCAAAATGAGCAATGACATGCTTCCATTTTATGGTAATATTTCAAAAAGCATTAAAAAATCTAGATATGAGGTGTAAGTACCGTAATCCAACAGCAAATTCGAAAATTCAGAACAATACTTTGCACATACATGTATGGCATTTGTGTATAGCAAACGCGAGTTACAATAAATGGACACTGATATCTCAAAAAGTAACCAGACTCCCTATAATTTGATGTAGATCAATCGAATCCCTATTTGAACATGTACATTTTGATATATAACAGACACTATGGGGGTAAGCGTTTTATCATGGGCTCAAATAGAATGGTGGCCGCGGAATGGCTGTAGGAGCTCTTCAAAAATCTTCAAAATGGAGATTAGTACTATTGCGCCACCTATCTTGCACATGCGCAGATCACAAAAAATCGCAAATCCAAGAAAAATTAATTCTTCTAATTTTAGCAACATATATTTCGAATTCTAGCTTTTAAATAATGTTAAAGCGAAAGAAAAACACAAAAATAGGCCTAAGTCCACAATCATGTTATTGTTATAAATCATTAAGTTTAATAACTTATGATAATCTATGCTAAAAAACATAATCACGTATTACTCGAGTCTCTAGCCAATTCTTGCACTCAGTGGCCATAGAATATGATAAATCACGTACATTATCGAGCGGAATTTTCGTTTGCCGTCAGTTCGTTTTCACGATATTACGATATTCATTATTCGCATTTTCGTCTAGTGCGTTATGACGTATTTTCCCGGGAATGGATGAATTGGACAGGTTGGAAACTGGGGATGTGATTCCCATAGCTGACCATGATAAAAGTTTACCCTATATCTCATCAACGGGTAGCGGGCCATAGCCAGCCTTTGCTAAGGGGGGAGGGGGTTCACTTTCTAACTAGTGTTCCAGGGGGGTTCCCTATTGACTGTATCTGATAGAGCCCATGGTTTTATAGTTGATCACGAATGCCATATGTGCAAAGAATTGTTCTGAAATTTCAAATTTGGTGTTGGATTTCGGTAAACACATTAATATGAGGCCTAAAATTGTCTGCTAGTTGGCCAGAGACCAATATTCTAGCAGAATTTGAGAACAGAATCGATTTTTTTCGTTCAGCATAGGGCAAACAATGATTTAAAATCACTTTCAACCCTTCGGTGTGCATAAGAATGGTCATAAGAGGCCCATGGAGGGTCATAAATGAAAGAAAGCCTCTGAAATTCCGTCAAAATTGCAGGTTATTTCTTCATTTTTTGCTGAAAGCTGTTTGTCAAACGTATCATTTTCTAGGTCAAAATAGTTCCGACGTTATTTACTTCGCATGTGCCCGTCATCTCAGAATTGAGGAAATGGTAGCAAACACGAGTTACAATAAATGGACGCTGATATCTCAAAAAGTAACGGAATGTTATAAAAACCCTTCGACCTGCACCTTCGACCTTCACCTTCGACCTACAGGGTGTCCAAAAAGCGGACCAAAAAGAAAGTTATAAAAACCCTTCAACCTGCACCTTTGACTTATTGACGTTTTATACTCAGTTATGCATGCAGTTAGTAAACGATGTGTCCCACGAGAAATGAAAACAAGGGCAATGGGGGGGGGGGGGGGGGGGGGGGATCTGCGCCAGTCTATTTTTGGTTCTGTTTTTTGCTCATGCGTATTACATCCAGTAATTTGATTTGTTTAAATTCTCAAACGCATGCAGTTTTTCACCATTTTGAGCAAATTGGAATGATTTTTAGCCAACACTGTCAAAAAGCTCCCCATTGGCCGGGGGGGGGGGGGGGGTAATGGTCAAATTTTTTTACAGGGGGGGTGCCGGTGAGACTCAAAATACCTACCCAATTAATTTTTAAAAAACAAGACCCACTTCCAGCGATTTTTTCAAAAACAGTACCCATACAATTTTAGGATTTTTCAAAGAGTAGACCCAGTTCTAGGGATTTTTCATCAAAATGGGACTCTTATCTAGTGTTTTTTCTTCAAAATGGGACCCACATCTAGGGATTTTGCGGTGAAAAAGTGACCCACTTTAGCGGCACGTCCCCATACAGTATAGCCAATATGGGGTAAATCCTGGCTGCGGGCCTGCTCGTCACGTCTGAGACATGGAGTTGAGTGAATGTTTCTAACGTATTTCCTAATAGGCCTACTTATATACGTGTTTACGATTATATGACTTGTAATTTGTGTAGCGACCCTGGGTTGGCTAGTCATATTTTACTCTTATATAAATTGCCAACCTGGCACCCGGTGTCGCTACTTTCCTTCCGCTCTACAGCGCGAATAGTTCCGCTGCAGGGTCGGGGAAATAGTTGCTTGAGCTATATAGCTTTTGTTCAGAACAATTGTTTTGCAAGAGTATTTTGAACATGGCACGTTTCTGCTGTAATTTTATGTAAGGGTCAATCTCGCGAGAGACAGCGAGACGAGAGTTGGCGCCATAATAGTTTCCTCACGAGGCAATTTTGATTTCAGTTTTCCTATTTTGAGATATTTTCGACACTTTGTCAGCACCGATCGATTGTAATGGGCTAGCCAAAGGGAAGGAGAGACCAATGTGGCTGCGGAAATGAGGTTATATTTTCTCATTTTAACTCAACTGCTGTGCTGAGCATATTGTGAATTTTGAATTTATTTTCATTTTTGTCTTTGACTTCTGAGAGTCAACTGAGTTTGACATTGGGTTTAATTTGGTTATTTGGAACATCCATTTTGGTTGATTTTCTTTGATAGAAATATGTAATTGTTGGCTGGAAGATCTGGCCTAGATTTTGATATACAGTACTCAGCGCGCAGGTGAGATTTTACACAGCGCCACCTTTTGACACTCGCCCTTGAAGGTTGAAATTTATGTTGTTTTAATTGTAAGCGCTCATATAGCCACCATCTTACTTAAGTCATTTGTAATCTTTCTGCCATATAATTTCCTGTGATTTTCATTTGATAGATAAAACTGATGTAAAACCAGATCATAATTACTTATTTACAATTAAACTTTAGAACTTTACTTGATTTGTCGTGTTGATTGTTTGTAGTCATTGATTGATGGTTTAGATGGAACAACAGTAAAATGGCCCTATGATTACTTTCTGATATCTTCCCAACACCACTTCATCCTTCTGTTCCAAAACATTCTTGTCTAATTAGTGTTCTCAACTTTATTCTTTATTCAAAGATGGCAGCACCTTACGTATAGGCCAGTAATCAATCTTAACATTCAGCTCAAATCCGATACACTACGTGCTATGACCGTTCAGCTTACCACGCTACCATTTGTTTGCTCGTTCGGT